ATTTTGGAGCCTTACTGGAAGAAAGATAGCCTCTTTAACAAATGGTGCTCGAAAAATTGGCTCTCTACATGCTGAAAACTAAAACTTGACCCAGGCCTATCACCATTCACTAAGCTAAAGTCAAAATGAATTAAAGATCTAAACATTAAAACAGAAACACTAAATCTCCTGGAAGAGAAAGGAGGAGGAACTCTTGAAGACATAGGGGTAAGCAAAGAGTTCATGAACAAAAATCAAATTGCACAGGTAATAGTTGAAAGAATTAACAACTGAGACCTCCTCTGATTGAGAAGTTTTTGCATGTCAAAAGAAATTACCAACAAAGTGAAAAGAAAACCCACGAATTTGGAAAAAATCTTAACTAATAAGCACTCAGACAAAGGTCTGCTCTCTAAAATTTATAAAGAACTAAAAGGATTAATTCTGAACAGGAAGAAAGTGAGGAGTAAAGAAGGAAGTAGATGCATTTATGTTAAAAGAGTCTATTCTGTCTTGAATTTTCTAGATGGCACTAAGGCAGAGAATTAGGATAAGAATCAAAGGAGGGCAGTGGCCAGGACCTAGCAGTAGCAGTAGAATGGTACAGGAAATTGACCGGCGATGTTGGGTGTTCCAAATGGTTCTCTTCTGACATTCAGCACTCTGATGACTCCAGTGCTTTTCTCTCAGTGTCTAGCAATGAAGGAGAAAAGATGAAGGGTGGGATTGATGCAGGATAGTTATTTTGCAAGCAAGATACAGTGGTGGAAGGTGGGGTTCTGATCAAACATTGTAATTTTAGAATTATCTCAGAAATGAGCCTATTTCAGGCAATGTCAGTAGAGGTGGGTGGTGAGCTAAAATAGGGTGAAATCTGTTGAACAATGAGTGGAGAGAATTACAGATTCTTTTTAAATCCATATGTTCCTTGAAACCATATATACATTTCTTTTTTAGTGGGACTACCAGTAGCTCCTGCAAAACGGACATGGGGAGCAGTGAGTCTGAAGAGCCTGCAGGCCCCTCATGGATTGTCCACCCTGGGCTTCCTGGTACGATGACATACTCTGTAGGGAGTTCCAGAGAGGGCAGTGTTTCAGAAAGGTGCTCAGATATTTCTAATACTATAAAGGAAAAAGGTAAGAAAAATTTTTGAAAAATAGGAAAATATAGTTTTCTGGGATTTTCTTTTAAAAATGAAAACATTGTTTTATGTTCTAGTATAATGCTGCCAAAGTGAAAGCTGGATTTATGTTTTAAAAGAGTTGATTCTATTGTATTTTCTACTTTGGACTACTTTTTACCCTGAGGCAGAAGGTTAGGATAAGGACTACAGGAGGCTATTCACTTGGACTTAGCTGCGGAAGACGAATGATGTTCATACCCCACATTGATAAGGATGAATTTCTGCTCCTCTGGTATACTAATAAGCATGTCAACTTAATAAAATGATGCTTTTGCATTTTCTTAAACCAGGGAAGAAAACTTGAAAATATGACCTGATTCCTAATTCCTTTAATTTTAATTTGTTGCACAATGTATACCTTATAGAGATAACCTCTTCACATTATAATTAAATTTTTATAGAAAAATACAGTTATGTGCAATAAAATCATAATACTGGCAAATGTTTCAGAACTCTTTTGTGTGTATAGATATATTTCTTATTTAACAACCTACCTGGTTAATGGCTATTCTGTCTTAGGACATGTCATATGCACTTATGACCTGTGCTCTTATGATGTGGGAATGTGAGTAACAGTGAGGCCTTATGGTGGTTTCTGTAGTACAGTACTGTAATTTTTGCTGATTGTACTGTATAGGACAGTACTATAGTTTCATGTACTGTTATACACTATATCATTGCATGTAAGAGTTGTGCAAATAACAGTAAAGCCATTGGGGTTGGAGTTTCCTTTGTCCATGTCTTTGTTCTGACTATTGTACATGGTACTGCCAGTGTACACAGTTCCTTATTTAGCAACTAGTTCATTTAACAAACTAGTTGCAGTGAGCAGAACTCAGTTATTAATAAGGAGTGTGTATAATGCTTAATGGTGGTGACATGGTCTGAAAAATGTACTCTAGAGTGTATCATAGTGTACTTATACCAACTAAGACAACTGTGACATCAGGACATAGTATAATCTTATGGAACCAATTAAATCTATATAATCTATCAGTGACTATAATGTCATTATGTGACACTGCTGTACTAAAAACATAATTTTAGCTAATATATATTTTGATATAATATAGGTATACACAAATAGACATGTATACACATATCTGTATAAAATATTTAGGTGCAAGTTTGGAGCGTCGTATACACAGCTCAAAAACTCTGAAATTGGAGAATGTCTTAGAGATCACTCATGTCTACCTCCCAAGTACCAAATTTTCTTTTGTAATGATTTTTTTTAAATTTGGAAGATAACAAGTCCTCTTATAGATAGTAACATACTATATATAGTTATTAAAAATACCAATCTCATATAAAAAGTTCATAAGAAAATACTTTTTAAATAAAATATAATTAACCCATAGTAAAATTATCCCTGTTAACATGTTAGCCCTATGAATTTTGACAAAGGTTCTCCTACACTGAAGATATATACAGTTCTGTCAGCCCCCCTCCAGATTTCTATTGTGTTCTTTTGTATGAAACTCCTTACCCCAACACCAGTTACACAATAACATCCAGTAATCTGTTTTCATTCTTCTTTGTTAAAGTATCTATGTAAATGGAATCTTAAGTATTTAACCTTTTGAACTCATCTTCTTTCACTTAGCATAGTGCTTCTAATATTGACCTGTGTCATTGTATTTATCAGTATTTAATTTCTTCTGCTGACAAGTATTCCATTATATGGCTAAACTAGTTTGTTTATACATTTACTAATTGAAGGAATTTGATTTGATTCAAAACTTTGGAAATTATGTGTAGAAATATAAAAATATTCACAGAGCAGTTTTTTGTAAAACTAATTTTGTCTTTCACTATCTAAGAATGGGATTACTCAGTCTTAAACATGTAACTT